TTTATTCCTCGACTCCTAATCATGTATCAGACCTTCTACTACAAGCATCTTTTTGAGACTGCAATGAGAGCTTTCACGATGATCGTAGAACAATACGCGAAACTCGCGGAAGAGTCGGCCGCTACCGAGAGTTGCTCGCAGATTAAGGCTAGAAACCGAAAATTGCGGAAGCGTCGACTCGACTTGTGGGAGGAGGATTTGAGCGTGCTGTCCGATGCGACTTTCATCGACCTTTTCCGCATCAACAGGAAGATACTCGATTACATCTGCGACGGCATGCGTCATGCACTGCACCCCATTATACAGCGACATTTGATTCCGCTTCGAGTAGCGGTACTAGTACCGATTAAATATTTCGCCACCGCCACAGCATTCCTTGACATGAGCTTCTGGTTTGGCATCCCGAAGACTCTGTGCCATCGCATCGTCGACGTGTTTTTAAAGACATTTCCACGAGTGTTCAAGAGCGAATGGGTAAAGTTCCCAACGCGCGACGAGATGGCTGTAATGGCGAAAGAGTTCAAGGCGATTAAAGCGAGGGGCTAAAATAGTGAAGGCGGATCCAACTTGAAACCAAGGGACCCTCGATTTTTTCCAAGGGGTTGTTAGCCTTACTCGGCAGAACCAGGGCTGTTCCATAACACAGCCGCGCTGTTCAGAGCGAACAAGCGCGAGCACACGATTGGCTGGGAAATTTGTAGGACAGGGTTTGCGAGCTGTCACAGGTCGCAGGTACTTGTGCGACCCCATTGCCTCGTCATTCTCCAAGTGGGCCCAACTTGATTTTCAAGTTGGACCCGGGTTCACTACTCATGCAAGAACACAACTGGTTTTCTGATTGGTCGAAATTTCTCCCCACCTAGAGCTACCAAATCAAGGCGTGTTTACTTCGACCACCCGCCAACCACACTTTTCCCATTGCGTGTCCACCCTTTTGAGTTTGACTGAAGCGCAAACAATCGAGGTCGACCGAATATGGTTACAAATGAGCCCCAACGAGGCGTGCTAGTTAGTATTATGCTTATAAACAGAACCCTGTCCCCATATCCGAATTTGTCGCGCGGGCAGGTGCTTTTGCAGCTGAGTGACTGCCCGCCCCGAAACGGCGTTTTCTTCGGCCCGCTCGCTTGTACCCCCAATAACTGTTCGAGGGTTCCAATCAAGTTGGGCCCAACTAGAAAGATGGGTCACTATTATAACCTCTCGCTTCAAGGGAGTGCCAGCGGTGATCGGAGCAATAGACGGGACGCACATTCAGATACGGGGAATGGATGCACATAGGGCAGAGTACTTCACTCGAAAATCTCAATATGCGGTGCAGCTGCAAATTACATGTGATGCAAAAGGACGGATTTGGGACTATCTCATAGGCTACGCTGGGATGTCACACGATCAGCGGGTATTCATCGATTCCAACCTCTACAACCGACTAGAGAACGGCGACATAGCCCCCTACCAGCTTGTGGGTGATGCCGCCTACCCGCTGAGGGAGTACTGCCTCATTCCGCTGCATGCGCCAGCTGGCCGCATCATGCTCGACTGGCAGCAGATCTTCAACTACTGCCAGTCGGCCACCCGCATGTCAGTAGAGCGGACTATCGGCCAGTTTAAGGGCCGATATCGCCTCTTCGGGGGGCGGCACGATTGCTTCCTGTGGCGCGTGCTGGCGGGCACCAGTTGTGTGGTCATCCTGCACAACATGTGGATATTCATGGCGGAGGCAAGGCAGAAAAACCCGAACTTGAAATGGCAGGCTATTGCTCGTAACCGAGACCCATGGTGGACCAGGGGTGAGCTAGCTGTGTTCCAGTGGACCCCGTGCATCACGGTGACGCAGAACGAGCTGAAAGAACGACGCAAGAGGTTGGGGGGGCTTTGCTTGGTGCTTACCAGAAGCGCCATCGTCGCGATACCACACCTCCACCCCATCATTGAGGGCAGCATCGTCAGCATCAGCCGCTGGCTCTGCCCCACTTGTGCCGACGTCATTGGGTGCGGCTTCCGCGGAGGCACCATGGAGGGCGCGCAGTCTATGGCGGGATAGGGGAGCCCGTCGCGGATTGGTGGGACATCCATTCACGGATAACGCTGGTGATCTGGCTGATGCTGTCAGCGTGGCACTCTCGAAGAGTGTCTGCCAGAAGCTTGGCTCCCGCCATAGTCGCAGACTCATTGATCCTGCGACAGGCAGATGGAGGAGTACCAGGGGTCGAGGGTGCTGGGAGGAGGGAGAGCGGGGCGTGTGGGGGGGGGAGGAGAGGGGGAGCGATGGGTTAGGCATTGTCACATGCGTCCTACCATTATAGTAAACTGGATTTAGCCTTTCCGGCTGATTTTGTCTCAATGTATTTCAATGCCCTGAGATTAATCTTTGAGAGACACAGCAGTACGGCCACTATAAAAATCACTAAAGCATGTGTTCATGTGTTACCAGTAACACCAAAGATTTGCACATTCAACAGAGCTCACCGTTGGACTTTGCAGGGGTGGACGAGCCTGGAGGCTTCGGGATGTTGATGTTCGGCTCCACACTTATGTCCTCAGCTCCCCCGCCGTCGATAGCATGGGGCTCCATCGCCGCTGTGTTGCGGTAGTAGAGCTCCATCCACTACCACCACGGTGGCTTCACGACCGTTCCCCCCCCCGACGCCTTGTCGCCCTTACGGGTCTGCTTCCAATCCGCCTTCAGTCACGCCCACTGCTTAGTGCAAGCAACTTCGTTGCGGCACCTGTCGGGGTGCTGCTCCTTGATGTGCTCTGTAAGCAGCAGCCAATACTGACTTCCCTGCTTCCCGACCATTTGCTTCAGCTCGTCCTTCGTGAACCAACGCCCGGCAACCAGGATCACCGACTCGCGCATCTTCCATACCCTCCCTTGGCATGCCTTGCCGTTGGTCGCTGAGGGGCTGGATACGGCTGATTTATCGGTCGCCTTCTCCTTGCCTTTATGGGCTGCAGTACTGACGCAGCTTGCCGCGGCGGTGTTACCTGCGTTAAGAAATGGCTCGGGGTTACTCGCGGGGCCGGTGAATTCCTGCTCGTCCTCGTCAGTGTCGCAGTCGTACTTGTCAGCGTCCGAGTCAGTCTCCTGTGGCTCATCATCGCTATCGGCGTCTGACTGCGGGCGACGCGGAGCACTGTTTCGTGCTCGCGGGGGCTTGGCAGTGGAAGTGCTAGGAGCCTTGGAGTTTCCTGAACCGACATTGCGAAGCGGGCGATTGTTACGACGACCAGAGTTAAGCTCGTTATTCATTTATCGAATGTAACTCAGCTCGTTAAGGTCGAGAGGGCAGTCATCTGCGGCAGCGACTTTTCTCTTCTTGGGCGGCATAATCGAGCAATGGCGCTCAGCAGCAGTTAGAGACGATGTGACGGGTGGGGGGGGGGGTGAGTAGCACCGTGCCTGCAATGTGTTCTGTCTTTGCTTATATATGAGTTTCCCAACCAGCACAAAATGTGGAGCGACGCTTCAACCAGGTGCTTGACGAGGCGCGCCCTTTTTTCAGCATGGATTGCCCTGTTTTGAGTTCGCGCAGTTACCGTGCATGAAAAAAAAGACAATGCCAATCGATTCGTGAGTTGTCAGCTTGGCACGCGACTGTCGTCAGTGCAGCGACTGCGGATTTGTGAACGGCTAACCGGGACGTGGGCCTGCAAATTGACAATTTCGAAATCCGTGCGATTACAAACGGATTACGTGGCATGTAGGCGAGTTGGTTTCGCGACCAAAAGTGGGTGGCGACTGTTTTCGTGAGTCACTGGGAAGGGGTGTAAGAGTTCCCGAGCCTCTGCCCAGAAGCGACTTGGGAAGAGGTTGCCTGGGAAGATGCTCGTAGGAACACGCTCTTAGCCGATCTTTTTGGGTTGCGAGAGCTGAGGGAGGGATATTTCTTGTTGTGGGGACTTAGCCGAAATTTCAGGGTCGCAGGAGGTGTGGGAGGGATGTGTCTGTCTGTGGGGACTTGGTCGAATTTCTGGGGCTGCGAGGCGAGTAGGGAAGAAATGTGCTGGGGGGAACTGTCTCTGGCTGCTAGGCCTTAGCCTAGCCAGATTTTTTAGGTTGCGGGGCGGGGTGTGTGTGAAAGGACCTGACTCTGGCCCTTGGGGAATTAGACGAAAGTTTTGGGTGAGGGCAGGTAGGTGCAGTACTGGTATGTGTCTCAGGGTCCGTACGCGCTGCACTCTGAAAACTCGGTATCCGCAAACTGCGAAGTCTGAGATTCTCAGGATTCAAAAACATATAACTCTAAAGGGATCAGCATTCAGAAAATGGCAAGTCTGAAAAATCAGGATCGGCCAAAAAATTGGTCTGAAATTTCAGACAATCAGACTAAAATAGTCTGATAAAATCAGCCCTGCTTCCATATGAGGTATCGCGCTACTAGTACAGTCTAATTGTTATATTAGGAATGCATAAGTAAACTCTGTCGAGTATACTTCAACAGCCTTGCACTGCCTTGTCATCGGATGGAGAAAGCATAGGGTTTTCTTCCTCCTCTTTTATTTATGTTGTGATGTACCGTATGTGCATTTTTTTTTGCTGTTGCTATGCTACTAAGCTGTTTAAGCAAGAAATATCACGATAAGCTGCTGCTGCTGCAGTGTAGAGTTTCGAAGACAGTACTTTCCTTGGTTCACGCACTGACGATTTCAGGTCCGTCCGAAGCTTCAAATCGGCGCCACATCATCGCCCACACGTTCGTGAACATTGCGCAACTAGCCTCATTCCGTCGCAAAGACACTCCTCTCAACGACTATCGCTCACCACAGTCGCTAGAAGGCGCACTGTATCATTCAGGGTAACAGCTTCCCGAAAAGTTCGTTCCTTCGTTCGCCTGCCACGTAATCCACGTGACCAGCCCCCTTCCCCCTCCATGTGATCCACACTGGCACAGCATCCCCCACAGCCTGATCTCCATGTGGCGTTGATTCCTCTGCCTGTACTCCGCTCCGCACATTGCCGCTTACTGGCGGATGAAGTACATTTTATTGTTCTTGTCCTCATTTCGAGCGGGTCAGGCAAGAACATAAGTAGCTTGCTCCACCTTTCACTACGTTCTATCCGCCGTTCGCCGTCTCCTGTGCCGATTCACCACCACTTCCCCAGTGTTGCTCATATTTCCTCCGCGGTTAATACATTTGCCAGCCGCGTCCGCCTCGGACGACTCCCCTTTTCCCCAAATTGCACGCTACCGCACTGTTGCCATGGCGGCGATCCGGAGCTTGTCTCTCCACGCGCCCATCTCCGCGCCATCCACCGCTTCCGCGGGCTTGCGCGCGCGGAGCCAGCGCGCGGCGGTTTCCGCGTCTTTCAGCGGGCTGCGTAGACACTCCGCCTTGCGCTCGCCGTCGCAACAGCAGCAACAGCAGGGGGGGCGGTTCTCACCTGCGTTGCACGGCGCGAAGAGCAGGAGACCGGCCACTGTGCAAGCAAACTGGAACCAGGTGCGGCTTTTAACGAAGCGCGTGAGCCTGTTGCGTGTTGCGCTTGATCCTTTTACCTCGATCTCCCCCTCCATTGGTCCCGTCCCCCCAATCTGTCGCTAAATCGCTCCGCCCTTCGGCGTCCCCCGTGCCGTTACGCATTGTTTTCAGGAGGTGGTCTTTGCCGACGCGCCTGTGATTCAATCGGAGAAGGTGGCGGAGCTGCTCTATGCAGTCACACTCGATATCAGCGACCTTCCGGAGATCAGGGTGAGTGACGGAGTGGTCGAGTGAGTGAGTGGCTGTTCTACCTTTCTCGTTTGGAAGTTCCTACTCTGACACCTTAAAGTCATATTGGGAGTGCTTCTTGATATATTTAAGAAGAAAAGCACGGGATGAACGATGCCCTATCGTCCCCTCGTCCCCTTTCCCCTCTTCCCCGCCCATTTACGGCCCCATGTGTTCCAACCGGGACGGCTACACCAAGCCTGATCAGTGCCTGCGGGTTAAGGTGGGCGACAGCAGCTCTGCGTTTCTCGCTATCGCATCATCCAAGCCAAATCGCATCATCACTATGTGCCCCCCCCCCCCTCCCCTCCCCCCCCTCCATCCGTTGCGTCTCCTCTCCAACTATTCCGTGCGCCATCCCAACCAGGACGGCTACACCAAGCCCGGCCAGTTCGTGCAGGTCAAGGTGGGCGACGCCAAGCCCGCGTTCCTCGCCATTGCGTCGCCGCCCAGCGTCGCGCGCGACGAGGGGCGGCTCGAGTTCCTCATCAAGGCGGCGGAGGGATCCACGGCGGCGCAGATCGCGGAGACCAAGGCGGGCGCGCGGGTCGCTGTGAGCGCGGTGATGGGGAAGGGGTTCAACGCGGACGCCGTGTCTCCCCCGGGGGAGGTCCCCTCGGTGCTGCTCTTCGCCACGGGATCGGGCATCAGGTACGGGGGAGGGCATCAGGTACGGGGGAGGACATCAGGTATGGGGGAGGACATCAGGTACGGGGGAGGGCATCAGGTACGGGGGAGGGCATCAGGTACGGGGGAGGGCATCAGGTACGGGGAGGGCATCAGGTACGGGGGAGGGCATCAGGTACGGGGGAGGGGGAAAAGATGGAGGGGGAGTGGCAGGGGAACGAGAGGGGAGGGGAGGGGAGGTAAGGGGAGGGGGAAGGATTGGGGGAGGGGGAGGAGAAGGGTATTAGGGACGGGGCTTGGAGGGGTTGATGAGTGGGAGTGGGAGACGAAGGGAAAGTATGATAGGCATTGTGGGCGGGCTGGAGAAGGTCGCGACGAACTGACTGAGAGCTGGGAGATTAGCAGCGCTAGGGTAAAGGGCGGAAAGTGCGGAACCGTTGTGCTCTCTGAGCCTGACTTGCTCCCGGGACTTCATCCCATCCTCCTGTATTAATCCCCCCCCGAATCCCCCCACCCCACCCCCTCCCCCCCCCCCGCATTTCCCCTTCCCTCTTCCCCAATCCCCTCCCCCTTTTTGCTCTCCCCTCTTCCGCCACCCGTCCCCCTTCCCCGCTCCCCCCTCTCCGCGCCGTTCTCCCGGCGCGCTGAGCAGCCCCATCCGCGCGCTGATCGAGCACGGGTTTGACGCCTCTGCGCGCAAGGACGTGCGGCTCTTCTTCGGCGTCAGGAACGGCGCGTTCCTGCCATACCAGGTGAGGGGGGGAGGGGGAGAGGGGGAAAGAGCGTGGCGGAGAGGGAGAGAGAGGGAGGGGGAGAGGGAGAGAGGAAAGAGGAAGAGGGAGTGAGAGGGTAGGATAGAGGGAGATGGAGTGGGTGGGGGAGCGGAGGGATGTGGTGATACATTGGCTGGTTTGCTCCGGTGCCCCTCCCACCACCAGCCTCAAGGCATTTGCTTTATCACCCCCACAGCTCGACCCTTGAGGGGGCATCAGCATTCCCCCCGCCTCTCCCCACCTCTCCCCACCTCTCCCCACCTCTCTCCACCTCTCCTCTCCTCTACCCACCGCCCGTTCCTCCTCTCTCTCTCCCTCTCTTCCCTGTGCAGGAGCGGTTTGCAGCATGGGAGGCGTCGGGCGTGCAGGTAATCCCCGTGTTCTCGGACCCCGAGGACGGCTGGACTGGCGCCACTGGCTTCGTGCAGGTACGGGGTGGGGAGAGAGGGGGGAAGGGGACTGCGGGAAAGAGGGCAGAGCGAGCGGGGGAGAGGAGAGGGAGAGTGGGGAAAATGGGGGGAACGAGAAAGGGAAAGAGGTTAAGGGAACTATGCTGTGGCAGTGGAGATCTTTGGTATGAATGATGAGTTATAAAATCCTTCGTTGCAACCAACCGCCCCAGCTCTCCTTTGCACATCCGCCTTGGAAATTGTTTTTTTTCAACTGCCTCAGTTTCACCTGCGGCAGGCAGCATACATCGTCGCACTTCCAATGTAGTCGCCGCCTCTCTGAAACCAAACCACGTTCCCGTCTGTTTTCTCCTCTCCTCCCGTCCAAATTGCATGCGTCACCCCTTGCAGTCGGCATACAGTGCGGCAACGCCAGTGGCGGACGGCAGCAAGGCGGGGGCTGTGCTGTGCGGTCACAAGGGGATGGCTCAGGTGAGATGGGGGGCATGTGAGGGGGACAGTTGGAATGAGGGGTTTAGTTGGATTGAGTGGGGTAGTGTAGCGCTCTTCAGGTAAGAAAAGGCGGGGAAGATGACGAGGGAAGGGAAGGTTGTGGCAGAGGTGGGAAGGGAAGTCGAAACATAAGAGTGAATGGAGGGACGGAAGGATGGAGGTACAACGACAGGTGATGGTGAGAAACGGAGGGAGTTGGCATACTTTGCGTTGTGCTGCGTGCGAGCTCCAATTGGCAACTGGGACCTGCTCATGAAGGGAGCCTGATGTGACAGGTGGGAGCTGTACTGTACCCAAGGGAGCATCACTAGCCTTTGTGAGCCACCGGCCTTTGTGAGCCACTGGCCTTTGTGAGCCACCCACCTTTGTGAGCTACCTGCCTTCGTGAGCCACCAGCCTTGGTTCATCATTCTGTCTGCAATCGGTTTGTCTCAATGCACGTCACAAGCAGATCTGCGACATCAGTAAAGGGTCTGAGGAGTGGCAGATGGGGTGGTTGACCAAGGCATAGGCCTGCAGAGGCGTTTCAAAGTTAGATGGGTCTGCTAACGAAGTCGCAATTTCAACAGCAGATGGGGTGGTTGACTAGAGCACTACTGGTGGCGTGATTCGGTGCACGGTAGTGAAGGGAATAACTGCACATAGTCTGTATAAGCGCTGCCTGACTGGCACAGTTGCGCGCGCCGGGCGTGTGCAATGACTGAGCGCAGCGGAAGGCCCACAGGAGGAGGGAATAGTGGGTGCTGGTGAGGAATAGGTTATCTCCTAGGAGAGAGGGATTTGAGGTTGGGATGCGAGGCTGGTTGCTGGGAGTGACTGGGTACTACTTGAGCAGGCAGACAAGGTCAGGTAAGAAGGCTCCAGAGCAGACAGAAGAGTGTGTCTGAGAAGTTAACCAGAGGTTTTCACCCCCAGTTTCCCTCCTCCCCCCCCCGGTGTATTTTTCCTATCGACTAGTTGATCAATTCTCCTTCCTACCCTCACTCTTAGCTTGCATACTGCATTGCAAAACAACCTGTTACCATGCTCTCCCACCTGTATCAGTCTTCATACCAACCTTTTGCCGAATTACCCACCCAACCCGGACCCTTGCTAACCCTGCTTACTAATCCACTCCTGTCACCTGCACCGCATGGCAATTGTTTCTATCGTTGGTGTTTATTCATTTTCGTGCGCAGGACGTGACGGCACTGCTGACAGAGCAAATGGTGCCCAAGGAACGAATTCTACTCAACTTCTGAAACTTACGAATTCTACTCAACTTCTACTGCTGACAGAGCAAATGGTGCCCAAGGACGTTTTGAGGGGCCGTATGAGGGTAGAAGGATGCAACAGGGACAGGGTAGTATCTTGCCCTGAAACCTAGGATTCCTGTAATAGACGGTGTATATGCGCTGTTACAAATTTACCTCTTACGTCTTATCACCAGCGTCCTCAATTTACCCTTGCAAATAGCACTCATTGCATGAACAGCTCATGACATACAAAACTGCTCCATACCAATCTACGAAATCATTAGACTAGTCAAACTAGAGTACGCTAATTATCTCACTACAATTCTACCACTGATAATATTCGTGCTTACTATGGTCACAACACACTCAGCTTTTCGATTCCCCTACGAAAACATTATGCATGCATCATGCCCACATAGCTAACACACACATTATGCCAGCGCATGCAACACACTGGCTGGCACACATGAGCCGAGCAGTCACAGGAGGGGGTGGCAACAGCAGGCGTCAGCCGGTCAATCACAGCTGCCAAACGCCCACTCCAGCTTGCCCCGACAAGGGCACCAGGAGCGACCAGAGGAGGGGGTGGTGGAGGTGGTGGTAGAGGTGCAGGCAGGAAAGGCGGGTGAGAGAGCGAGGGTCAGAAACAGACCGTGCGTGCTAGTGGGTTGGTTCTGCAACCCCTTTCCACCACCCTGCTCATGCTGCTGCTGCTGCTGCTGCTCTTGCCCTGAGGCCAGCACCAAGCTGCTACTGCTGCTGTTAACGCAGCTGCTTCTGCTGCCGCTACTGCTACCACCACTACCGCCACCACTGCTACCCTTGCTGGTACTGTCAGCAGCACTAGCTGTGCTAACCCCCTCTTCAATACCCCTGAGGCTCTTCTCCCTGCCGCCGTTCTGCTTGCGGCCGCAGAGCAGCCTGTGAGGCGGGTGCAGCAGTCATAGGATGTCGACACGCTTCTTGATCTTGAACATCACTGCCAGACCCTTGAGCCCCTCGTTCTGCGGCACCTGCACCATCAGCTGCGCCTTGCTCTTGTACAGCGCACCCGAACACCCCTCCGACTCGTTGCCCAGCTGGGAGTGGGGGGGGAGGGAAGGGGGGATGAGAGTAGGGAAGGGGAGTTGGGGATATGGAGGACGAGAAAGACAGAGGGATGGGCGGTGGGATGGGGAAGACCGCCCTCCTCTGGAGCACCATCAGCTGGACCTTGGTCTTGTACAGCGCGCGCAAACACCCCTCTGACTCGTTTCCCAGCTGGGAGTGGGCACAGGGGAAAGAGCGGGGGGGAAGGGTGTTGTGGATGGGGCCAGAGGACGAGAAAAACAGGGAGGGATGGGAAAGACCGCCCTCCTCTGGACCACCATCAGCTGGACCTTGGTCTTGTAGGGAGGAGGGGGAGGGGAGGAGAGGGGGGGGGGGGGGGGGTGGGGAACACCCCTCCTGTCATCGTTCCAGCTGGATGTGTAGGGACGGTGGGGCTGATGGGGTGGTGGACTGGTGGGGTGGTGGGATGGTGTGGGGCAGTGGGATATGGTGGGATGGTGGGAAGGAGGGATGAAAACGTGGAGGCAGAGAAGAGACATTGGAGAGCACCAGGCGAGTTGGACACGGAAGGGAAGAGCAGGAAAGGCAGAGGGAGTTCTTCTTCAGTGCAGTGAGACAGAGAGAGGGGTGCAGTGAGACAGAGAGAGGAGTGCAGCGAGATAGAGAGAGGAGCGCAGTGCGCTCAGCTTAGCCCAACACACCCAAACGGAGCCCCATGCGAGGCCTGCAGCCTTGTCATAGCCCAGCTTGCCCTTCACGTCGTCGCGCGGCTTGTACTTGTACACCGCGCTGTAGTTCAGCTGCTGCACCTCGTACGCCATGCTGGGAGGGGGGAGAGGGGGAGAGACAGAGAGCAGGGGAAGAGATAGAGAGCGGGGGAAGAGATAGAGAGCGGGGGAAGAGATAGAGAGCGGGGGAAGAGACAGAGAGCGGGGGAAGAGACAGAGAGGTGCATAAGAGGGATGTAGGGGACACATGCGATTGTGCAGCTTGTGCTTGTACACTGCGCTGAGGTCGAGCTGCCGTATGGCATGCTGGGAGAGAGAGGGGAAGGGAGAGAGAGAGGGAAGAAGTGAGGCAAGAAGACACAAGGGAGGAAGAGTGAGAATGTGATGCTCATGGGGCTTGTGCTTGCTACAGAGATGTCAGAGACGAGATGCCAGGGATGCACATGCTCACATAAGTGGTTCCCACAGATGCACGCTCATTGGAGGAAGAGCTGGGGGAGGGGGGGGGATGATGACAAAACTCAGAGCTCCGGAAGAATTATACTTAACTCGTATCACACAGAGCTGGAGGAATATGACTGTCGTTTGCACAATGAAGGGAAATGCTGTCAGGCCTTCCTCAGTGCCGAGCTACTGAGCGAGAGAACACCACTGGGGTGCCATGGTCTTTACGTGGCAGCAACAGATTACACCAAGGTCTTTACATGGTCTTTGCACGCACACTGTATTTCGCACATAGAAGGGAAATGCTGTTAGGCCTCCATCAGTGCCGATCTACTGAACGGAAAGCTAACCTTCATAAAAGTTGCAGGGATAGCCCCAGAAAGGATGTCGAGGTAGAGCATTCGACTACCAGCCAGCCAGCCAGCCAGCCAGCTCGTCGGGTGCTGACCTGACTTTATGGTGGTCGTTGAAGCGGCGCTGGAAGGTGAGGTGCATGTGGTTGGACGGCCATGAGTCAACTCAAAAGCAGCCAGGAGCTGCGCCGCTGACCTGACTGTGCGCTGGTCGTTGCTTGCAGCGCACCTGACTTTATGGTGGTCGTTGAAGCGGCGCTTGAAGGTGAGGTGCATGTGGTTGGACGGCCATGAGATGGACGGCGCCACCGTGATGATGTCGTTCTGGTGGCGGGCGTGGTGGATGGACGGATGGAGGGAGCAGAGTGAGGGGGAGAGTGAAGGGGGGTGGAGAAGGTGGGGGGGGAGTGGGGGTGTGAGGGATGGAGTGAGGGGATAGAGTCAGAGCGCCGGCACTGCTGTGACCATGTCGCTCTGATAAAAGATATGTTTTGAGACGTCTCAAAACAAATCTTCGCAAGGCGGACACCAGAGGAGCCCACAGAATACGTTGCCTCAGGGAATGCGCTAAGCCATCCATTCAACCCCACCCTGACGTGCATCCTTCCACCCCACCCTGACGTGCAACCCACCACCACCACCCACCCACCACCCACCCACCACCCACCCACCACCCACCCACCACCCACCCACCACCCACCCACCACCACGACCACCACCCCACCTTGAAGTGGTAGCGCAGGTTGATGGCAGCATCCCCCTGGGAGAAGCTGGCCATGGCGAGCCCCTTGAGCACGTTGGCGGACAGCGATCCCGACAGCCCCTTGCTCTCCTCGTACTCGCACGAATCGTCCACAAACCGCAGGTCGCCGCGCGGAAACAGCAGCGTCGCCTTCGCCTGACGCCAGGATTGGGGGGCGGTAGGTACGGGAGGGGAGGGGGACGAGAGGGAGGTGAGGGAGGCGAGGGGGGGGGGGAGGGGGACGAGGGAGACGAGAGGGGGAGGGGGGGGGAGCGGGACGAGGGGGAATTAAGCAGAAACTCGTTTCCCTGGGCTTACGAGCGTGCTGGGCTTACGAGCGTGCTGGGCTTACGAGCGTGCTGGGCTTACGAGCGTGCTGGGAATGTACTTCCCCGCCTCGGAGTCAAGGATGAACTCCGCGCTCCTGCTGCTGTCCTCGTTGCGGAACACAGTCGACACCGAGCTGCGCTGGGCCTGAGGGACACGCAGGGGGAGGAGGGGGCGGGTGGGGGGGAGGGCGGGGAAGGGAGGGGCAGGGAGAAAAATGGGGATCTGCAGGGGAAAAGCACCGATGACGTTTTAGTAGCTTGTTGGCTACTTCGCACCAAGACGACGAGCAACACCGCATGAGGGATGCAAGCAGTGTGGTGCATGCCCTGCCACGCCATGCCCTGCCACGCCATGCCCTGCCACGCCATGCCCTGCCACGCCATGCCCTGCCACGCCATGCCCTGCCACGCCATGCCCTGCCACGCCATGCCCTGCCACGCCATGCCCTGCCACGCCATGCCCTGCCACGCCATGCCCTGCCACGCCATGCCCTGCCACGCCATGCCCTGCCACGCCATGCCCTGCCACGCCATGCCCTACCACGCCATGCCCTGCCATGCCATGCCCTGCCACGCCACGCCATGCCCTGCCACGCCATGCCCTGCCACGCCATGCCCTGCCACGCCATGCCCTGCCACGCCATGCCCTGCCACGCCATGCCCTGCCACGCCATGCCCTGCCACGCCATGCCCTGCCACGCCATGCCCTGCCACGCCATGCCCTGCCACGCCATGCCCTGCCACGCCATGCCCTGCCACGCCATGCCCTGCCACGCCATGCCCTGCCACGCCATGCCCTGCCACGCCATGCCCTGCCACGCCATGCCCTGCCACGCCATGCCCTGCCACGCCATGCCCTGCCACGCCACGCCATGCCCTGCCACGCCATGCCCTGCCACGCCATGCCCTGCCACGCCATGCCCTGCCACGCCATGCCCTGCCACGCCATGCCCTGCCATTGTAGCAAACCATGCATGCACGCACGAGTGCATGCACTGCGCCTACGCCACACGCACCCTATCCCAGGACACATGCTCGCGTGCTCTTCTAATCGTGCTCTACCTGCGCACCCCTTCTCTCCTATGCTTCTACACCCGCGCACCTTCTCACCCCCCACTCCCCTCCCCTCCCCTCCCCTCCTCTCCCCCCCCTTTTCCCCCGCACATCGCTCCCCTTCTCACCCCCCCTCCCCCCTCTCTCTCTCTCGCTCTCGCTCTCCCGCCCCCCACCTGCATGTCGCGGCGGTACGCAACGCTGTGGTTGCCGACGTCAGCGTTGACGCCGACGAGCGCGTTCTTGCCGTCCACGTCGTAGTCCACCGTTAGGTGCTTCGTCACCAGGCTCACCAGCGGGTAGCACCACTGCCCGCCCAGCGTCGTCTGGGGGAGGGGGGAGGTGTGGGGGGGGGAAGAGAGGGGGGGGGGGGGTTGTGTTTGGAGGAGGGATGGGGGACGAACAGGTCAGGGTGAGGTGGGGAAAGGGGTTGCAGAGAGTTGATACGGTTTTTCAGAGAGAACGGGCCACGAGGCTCACCAACGGGTAGCACCACTCGCCGCCCAGCGTCGTCTGGGGGAGGGGAGGAGAGGGGGGATGGGGGAAAGGTGACAGATGCGGCCATCTGTAAGTGCGACCATTCCCATGTGCGACAAGTCACATGTGCGACCATTCCCAAGTGCGACCATTCCCAAATGCGATCATTCCCATGTGCGACCATTCCCATGTGCGACCATTCCCAAATGCGACCATTCCCGTGCGCGACCATTCCCATGTGCGACCAATCTCATGTGCGACCATTCCCATGTGCGACCATTCCCATGTGCGACCATTCACATGTGCGACCATTGCGACCTTCCCATGTGCGACCATTCCCAAATGCGACCATTCCCATGTGCGATCAATCCCATGTGCGACCATGTGCGACCTTTCCCATATGCGACAATTCCCATGTGCGGCCATTCCCGTGTGCGACCATTCCCATGTGCGACCATTCCCATGTGCGACCATTCCCATGTGCGACCATTCCCACGTGCGACCATTCCCAAATGCAACCATTCCAATGTGCGACCATTCACATGTGCGACCATTCCCATGTGTGACCATTCCCATGTGCGATCAATCCCATGTGCGACCATGTGCGACCTTTCCCATATGCGACAATTCCCATGTGCGACCATTCCCGAGTGCGACCATTCCCATGTGCGACCATTCCCAAATGCGACCATTCCCATGTGCGACCATTCCCATGTGCGACCATTCCCACGTGCGACCATTCCCACGTGCGACCATTCCCAAATGCGACCATTCCCATGTGCGACCATTCACATGTGCGACCATTCCCATGTGTGACCATTCCCTTGTGCGACCAATCCCATGTGTGTCTTTGCACCTCTCAAAAAATGAACCGGCCTAGAATAGCAAATCGAAGAGTCATTCGCGAGGCATGAGTGGATCTGCAAGGGCCGCACGGATGTCTTTTTTTTTTTCACGAGGAAAGTCCACTTCGTCGAGGACTTGAATGGGTTGCGAGAGGACGCGGAGAGATGGCAATGGCGATCGGTAAGTGGGCGGGAGAGGGCACGGCCACGGGCACGAGCACGGGCATGGGCACGGGCTTGGGCACGGAGATAGCGGAGCGAGACCGACCTGACACGACGCTTTGACTTTGGCGAGGCCGTCGAAGAGGCGGACGGAAGCCTTGTTCATGAAAACCTTCTCCTCGCTGTCGTACTCCGAAGATATCTTCATCGCGCTACCTCGATCGCTCCGCTCGCTCAAATGGTTGCTCCGCTCAAATGGTTGCTCCGCTCAAATGACGCCTTGAAGCAACGGCAGCCCGCACACGCTCTCGTATGAGAGAGAGGGAGAGAGAGATAAGTTGAGAGGCAGAAAGAGCCCTGGGGAGTCTTGGCTCGGCGTCGCGAGATCGCGGGAGATAGGTAACTGGTACCGTCCCGGTTGCTCGAACGTAGACTACGGACCAGAGCGATCGTGGGATGTTCAAGTACAGGATGGTGCACTGTTGCTGTAATGCAACTCCAAGCCTAGAGTGTGTGTGTCCCCAGAATGGAATGATCCACGGTACAGCGGGTATGCCATTAGGTCCGTGACATTTTGGTCCATATAATACTCCAAGGTCCGGAATTCGATACGATCCACTACGATGTACTCCGTCTGTACAGTTTACATCTACTGTTAGACTTCGCTTAAAAAGCGCAATAAAACATAGAGACCAATCACGACAGTCGCATAATGCCACCGACCATCGATTCGCGTCACCCGAATTGGGTGCGATTGCAGCATGCGAGCATCGCCAACCAACCTGCAAGTGCGAGCTCGGAAATTCCCCGTGAATTGTGCTTGGAATTGCCTGGCCAATGCGCGCTTGCCAGGGCGATCCGACGTAATCACGACGGACCGGGGGGGCGAACACAAAAATCACAAACAGCCCGCTGGTACCCCCATCCACCTGGCACTTTTGCATGCGCGCTGGCATGGGCATGAATCCGTACCCCCTTTTCATCCATTCTGTCTTATTATTATGGTCCTAATCTAATCCTCGTATCAAGACCATTCGAGGCGTTTTCCATATTTTAGAACCAATCAAGTAAATATTCAGGCTTCCTGCATGACACGAAAAGGTCTATCCCGAATACGAAAACATGACCCACGGTCCCTCAATCACCATGAACAACTGCACATTTCGAAAATGATTTTCTAAAGGGTTTTTTTTTCACTTTCGTTATAACGTGTGATAGGTTAACGAAACTGCTCAATTCAGTTGTCAAAAATTTGTTCCGTTTAGCCCTTTTCGTGAGACCACGAAAAAGGTTTTCTGAACTATTTCTTTTGCGCGTTTTGAGCCTGCGCTGCTTGTGGGAAGGTCGAGAACGAGGTGTTACTTCTTTTGTCCGCGGTAATTCTGACCAGACGACAAATTCGCTGAGCGTTTTTGAAGAAGCCACATGAGCCCTCACATGACACGCGGCGAAATCGCTGGTAACCTGGCCCATTGGCCAATACGCTAAGGCACCATCATGAACAAAACGAGTACAACGGCCTACGCCACCCCACCTAAAAACACTCGTGCTACTCTATTATCCATTTTGCCTGTTGTGAACCGCTCTTATTCGTCGTAGTCCATATTTGCGAGTCGCGGATTTGGAGCATAGAGCATACCCGCTGTATACAGTCCTCTATGGCAGGGGTGCTTGAATTTGGTTTGCTCACAGCCCGTAACTGTACATCTCGCACATCTTGCTTTGATACTGTACTGCAGGTCCTAGCCGTTCAAGAGATCCAACACGAACTGGCGTTCAAACGAGGTAAACACCCGCTCAAACGAAAGTTTTCAAACGAGCAAAAGCAAAAAAGTTCAAGACGCGGCGGGAACAAGTTCTGAGTTGCGCGGTTCGAACAGTATCGTTCAAGAAGAACTTCCGATGTAGGAACTCGTTCAAAAGAATGTGTGCAATTTTCCTTTTACTCGCAAATTGCACACGCTAAACTGGCAGTTTGTAAGGAAAGCACTGTTCCCCACTAAACCTTAAACCCTCAACCCCTTTCCCATTTAGCGGGAGAGAGAGTAGACAAATATTTTTGCCTTGAATAATCGCCTATGCTTGCCATCAGTGCTTCGCCTCGTGGATCCTCACCATCCATTCGAGATGGTTACGAATGCGAGCAACATCGCCATCAGTGCAGCCTTATCATAGGGTTGGAGGTGTTGGAGATTGTGGATGCCTTCAAAGTGTGGCACTGCAACATAAAGGCCGCCGCCGTTGTAGTCATAAAGTTATAAATTAATCAGAGTAGTAACAGGTAGTGTAATAAAGGAGTCGTGATTCAAGAGTGTCGATACAAATGAGTGTCATATATAACCTAGATAGTTACTGTAGACTATACTGGATTGTGCCTTAGAGGATACAACACCCTAGTCTATATACCCTTGTACTCACACATTCTAGTTCACTTATTCATTCTGATATGGTATCATAGTAGGTTAGATCTCCCCCTAGCCCGCTCACGCTTCCGCCCCTACATTCCTAGCCGCCCCCCTGGCCGTCGTGCTCGTCCCTAGCCGGCCCCCTGGCCGTTCACGCCCGTCCCTAGCCGGCCCCCTGGCCGTTCGCGCGCGTCCCTAGCCGACCCCCTGGCCGTTCGCGCGCGTCCCTAGCCGGCCCCCTGGTCGTTCGCGCCTGTCCCTAGCCGGCCCCTGGCCGTCGCGCTCGTCCCTAGCCGGCCCCCTGGCCGTCGCGCCCGTCTCTAGCTGGCTCCCTGGCCGTCGCGCCCGCTCCTAGCCGGCCCCCTGACCGTCGCGATCGGTTCCAGCCGGCCCCCTGACCGCCGCGCCCGTCTCTAGGTGGCTCCCTGGCCGTCGCGCCCGCTCCTAGCCGGCCCCCTGACCGTCGCGATCGCTCCTAGCCGGCCCCCTGACCGTCGCCCCCGTCTCTAGCTGGCTCCCTGGCCGTCGCGCCCGCTCCTAGCCGGCCCCCGGAATGTCGCGATCGCTCCTAGCCGGCCCCCTGACCGTTGCGCCTGTCTCTAGCTGGCTCCCTGGCCGTCGCGCCCGCTACTAGCCGGCCCCCTGACCGTCGCGATCGCTCCTAGCCGGCCCCCTGACTATCGCGCCCGTCCCTAGCCGACCCCTGACCGTTCGCGCCCGTCCCTAGCCGGCCCCCTAGCCGTTCGCGCCCGTCCCTAGCCCCTCCTAGCCGGCGCCCTGGCCGTTTCGCGCCCGCTCCTCGCAGGCCCCCTGGCCGTTTGAGCCCGCCCCTAGCCGTCGCGGTCGCTTCCTGCCGTCCCTCGGCCGCCCCTCACCGTCGTGGCCGCCCCTAGCCGCCGCCGCTGCCGTCTCCAACCGCTTCACGGTCGCTCCTGCCGTCGCGGCCGCCCCTCGCCGCCGTCGCGGCTGTCCCTGGCCGCAGTCGCGGCTGTCCCTGGCCGCCGTCGCGGCTGCCCCTGGCTGTCGTCGCGGCTGTCCCTGGCCACCGTTACGGCTGTCCCTGGCCGCCGTCGCGGCCGTGTCTACTTGCCGCCCGCCGGCCGGCCCCTGCATTCGCGCCGTCGCCGGCCCGCCGCTGCCTCGGGTTCGGCCCGTTCTTCCCGATCAGCACCGCCCTCCGAACCCCCTCGGTACCGTACTACATCGTTTTGCACCGCACTGCACCGCTTTGTACCGCATTGCACCGCATTGCACCGCACTGTACCGCACTGTACCGCACTGCACCGCACTGTACCGCACTGTACTGCACTGCACCGCACTACACCATACTGCACCGCACTGCACAGCACTACACCGCACCGTCCTACTCTACACTGCCCTCTATTGTCACTCATGGCGGCGGTGCTTTGCTTTGGCGCTGAGGGCCACCCGATTGAGTTTGATGCGTGGCTTGCTGACCTCCGTCGCCATCTCACTGGTCAGCGGCAGGATGGCCACTCGCTGTCTGTCCATCTTGATGGTACCCTCCCCTACCCTGACCCCCCCACTGCACTGTCTTCTGACCCCTCGTCCGCTGAGCGTGAGTCCGCTGCAGCCGCTGCCCTTGCTCGCTCTGTCTGGCTGTCCCGTGACGCTGTTGCACAGCTTGCCAATAGCAATGCCCTCCCCTTGTCCGAGCGACCTCGCTTCAGGTCTATCACCACTGCTCAGGCTTTCCTAGATGCTGTCGTCCAGCGCTATTCCACCCCGCCTGCTGCCTCGGTCGGTCGTCTGATCCTCCCCATGCTCTTTCCTGACCTTGCGACGTTTCCCACTGTCGCCGACCTGGCCGCTCACCTGCGCACCATAGACGAGACCTGGCGTGCTGCCTGCACCCCCACACAGCTTCTAGCCCACCAGCTGCCCCTCACCTCTACTCTCTACTTGCTAGCCACCCGCCTCCCTGACCGTCTTGCCACTGCCCGTGACTGCTTTCTTAGCGTCCACCCAGCAGACCTTACCCTCACTGACTTTGTTGACACCCTGTCCGCTATGGAGGCCCGCCACCGCTCTATCGCTTAGACCAGCGGTACTGTGCCGTTCCCTATCTTGCAGGGTAATGCCCCCGCTCAGTGCACCTTCTCCGACAGTTATGCTGCTGTGGCTGAGACTGCCGCTGCCGCACAAGTTTGTCCGGGGAAGGGTCGCCGCCCCAAGGCTGGACGTGGCGACGGGGGTGGGGGTGCGGGTGTAGGTGGTCCTGGATTTGGGTCGACTAGTGGTGGTGCTGACGCGGGGACCCTGACAGGTGCAGCCGAGCAGCCGTCTCAGCAGCCGCAGGTGTTGCCGCCGGACCCGCGCCAGCCGCAGCCGCAGTAGCAGCAGAGGCGGACGAGTCGTCTTCCGCCTGGGTGGCCCGGCGCTGGTGGCAGCGCTGGACGTGGTGGTGGTGCACGTGGTGGGCTGCCGAGTGGTGGTTAGGGTGCCGCGCACTGTCAGTACCTGCTTCAGACCGGTCCTCGCCGTGGCTTCGTTTGCGGTAAGATTGGTCATACCTCCATCCGCTGTTTCTGTCGCCTGGACGACCTGTTTCGTCAGCGTTTCGGCCCATCGCCCGAGCTCCCAGACTAGCACAGCTTGCTTAGTCGTAGGGTTCATATTTTTTATCTGGACATGGAAGAGATTATTGCTGCTCTGCATGTGATGTATGCTGATGACTCTAATGTACTTCTGTCTTATTACCCCTTGTTGCCTAGTGTAGATGTGCCTTCCTCAGACTCCCCTGCTGCGTCAGATGTAGGATACCCTGCTTTGTTTAGCCTTGGTGCTTCCGTCGCTACTTCGCCTCCGGCCGCCATTACCGCGCTCTCCTTCACCCTCGACTCTGGCGCTTCTCGGTGCTTCTTCCGCGACTCCACCACATTGACACCGCTTCCTGTCCTTGCTGCCGTCTCCCTGGCTGACCCCTCCTCTGGCCCTGTAGTCGCCCGCAGTTCCACCACCCTCCCCTGCCCGGCGGTTCCTTCGGGCTCTCTCACAGGCCTGCACATCCCCTCGTTTTCCAGGAACCTAGTTGGTGTCCGCTGCCTCCAAGACCTTGGCGTTACCACTACGTTCCCTGGTTACGAGCAGTACGCTGTCTGTACCGAGGCCGTCTCTGGTGCCCCCCTTACCACGTTCCCCCGGGACCCGGTGACCGGACTGTTCACACTGGACACTGTGACCCCCCCGGCTAGGACCCCCCCTTAGGTGGCTGCGTCTACCCAGGTTGCTGCTGCCTGCTCCTGTCGGTCACTCACCCACCCGACTCTCCTGTGGCACCACCGTCTAGGTCACCCTGCCCTCCCGCGTCTGCGTTACATGTCACAACACGGTCTCGTCCTAGGCCTCCCTGGGTCGTTCTCTGAGTTTCCCTCCTCCCCTGCCCCACCTTGCACGCCTTGTGTCGAGGGCCGGCTTCGCCGTGCTCCTCACTCCTCCTCGTTTCCCCCTACTGCCGCACCGCTACAGACTCTGCACATGGACATTTGGGGCCGCGCCCCCGTCCATTGGCCGCGTCGAGAGCGCTACTTCCTAGTCCTTGTCGACGACTACACGCGCTACACAGCTGTGTTCCCCCTGGAGCGGAAGGCCGACGTGCCTGACGTTCTTATCCCGTGGCTTGTTGCTGCGCGTGTCCGTCGCGGTCTCGCTATCTTGCGCCTCCACTCCGACCGTGGTGGCGAGTTTGCCTCTGGTGTCCTTGGTCGTTTCTGTCGTGTGGAGGGCATGACCCAGACGTTCACCTTGCCGGACTCCCCGCAGCAGAATGGGGTCGCTGAGCGACGCATCGGTTTGGTCATGGAGGTGGCTCGCACCTCCATGATCCATGCCGGTGCACCCCATTTTCTGTGGCCGTTCGCTGTTCGCTACGCCGCTCACCAGCTTAACCTGTGGCCGCACCCCCAGCAGCCGCAGGTTTCGCCGACCCTCCTTTGGTCTGGGTCACCTGGTGACGCGTCTGCGTTCCACGTCTGGGGCTGTCTTGCTCACGTTCGTGCCTCTGGCACGGACAAGCTCACTGCCCGCACCCTTCTCTGTGTCTTCCTCGGCTTCCCCCTTGACGCGTCTGACTGGCACTTTTACCACCCGCCGTCTCACAGATTCTTTCACTCCCGTGACGTCACCTTTGACGAGTCCGTCTCCTACTTCCGCCGCTTCTCCCACCGAGGTCCCCCGGTTACCCCCCCCCTGTTCTTGGTCACCCCTTCCCCGGTCGTCGCCGCCCCTCCTCCTCCCCCTCCCCGTCCTGCCCCCTCTGGTGTGTCCCATATCACCCCACTTACGTCGGTTGTACCAGTTGAGGAGTCTACTGACTCTTGTAGTCCTGCGGCACAGTCCTCGCTGCCTGCCCCTTCTCGGGTGTCCCCTCCTCCGCCGCCTCCGCAGCCGCAGTCGCCACCGCTGTCGTAGCCGTCGTCACCGCCGCCGCAGCCGTCGTTGCGACCGCCGCCGCCGCAGCCGTCGCCGCAGCAGTTCGTTGCCTCTCCTGTCGTGGCTTGTCCCGGCGGGTCTGGGGGTGGTACCGGTGCTCGAGGGGTTCTGAGCTTTGGGAGTGTTCCTTCTGGGGGTGCTGGCGTGGAGTGTTCTGGAGGTAGCCGCCAAGCAGCTTGCGGTCCCGGTGTCGGTGTCACACCACCACCGCAGCAGTCTCCGCCGGTGTCCGCTCTTCGCCTGCTCGGCCTTCCGTCCCCTGACCCCATGCCTGTGCCTCCTCCTCCTCCTGTCTACGGCCCTGTGTTCCCTCCTCCGGACTCGTCTCCGGCCCGTTTCCCCCCTCGTTCCCCTCTTGTGTCCCCTCCTCTGTCCCCTGACCCGACTCCTCCGTCTCACGTCTGGTCTCGCCGTCCCTCCCGTGCTCGACCTCTCTCCCCTGTCTCGCACTCTCACCCTATATTGCTTCGTTCCCACGCGTCTTGTCCTCCCCTTCTCCCGTCGCCCCCTCTGTCCTCCCTTGTTGTTGCTCCCCCCCCTCTGTCTGACTACCTGCGTGCCGCTTGTCCTCTTGTTCCTGGGGTCCTTGCCTCTCTCATTACTGACCCGTCTGTTTCGGTTTCGAGCTTTGACGCCCTTAACGCTGCGGTCGCTGACTTCGCCTCTACCCGCCGCCTTGAGTACGCCACCGCTCTGGTCTCTGACCCTGCCAGTCCTCCGTCTGTCGGGGGTGCTCCTGTCTGGAGGACCGCCAGTACGAGCTTGCTTTCCTGTCCGAGGCTGCTCCCCATCTCTGCTCTATGCGTCTAGTCCCTGAGGGTGACCCCGACACTTTCGACATCCCGACCCCTCGCACTTACGCAGAGGCGGTCTCGGGACCCTGGGCCTCTCAGTGGATAGCTGCCATGGAGCACGAGATGGCATCTTGGAGATCCACCGGCACCTACGTCAACGCGGTTCTCTCACCTCGGGTGAATGTAGTCGATGGCCGCTGGCTCTTCAAGGTGAAGCGCCCTCCTGGAGAGCCGTCTATGTTCAAGGCGCGCTACGTGGCTAGAGGTTTCAGTCAGTGTGAGGGGGTGGACTTTTTCCAGACCTTCGCTCCGACCCCGAAGATGACTACTCTTCGGGCGCTGCTACACGTAGCAGCTCAGCATGACTACGAGCTTCACTCCCTCGAATTCTCCATTGCGTTTCTTCAGGGCAGTCTACACGAGCAGGTCTACCTGGGCCGCCCTCAGGGCTTCACTAGTACCTTCCCTCCTGGGACCCAGTGGCTCCTGCGGCGCCCCGTCTACTGCCTGCGGCAGGCTCCCCGTGAGTGGCACGATACGCTGCGTGCTACGCTTGCTGACCTGCAGTTCTTTCCGTCCTCTGCAGACCCCTCGCTCTTCGTTCCTGCTGGCCAGACCCCGTTCTACATCCTTGTTTACGTAGATGACCTGGTCTTCGCCACAGCAGACAGGGACGCACTGGCCTCCGTGAAGGCAGAGTTGCTGAAGAGACACACTTGCACTGACCTTGGAGAACTGCGCCGTTACCTTGGCTTGCAGATCTCCAGGGACAGAGCAGCGCGCACCATCACTTTGACTCAGTCACACCTGGTGCGCCAGGTCCTTCAGAGGTTTGGCCTTCAGTTCTCCTCCGCACAGCCCACTCCTCTGCCTCTAGACCACACGCTCTTCGCTCCAGTTCCTGAGGAGTCAGTAGAGCCCAGTGGTCCTTACGCAGAGTTGGTGGGTTGCCTTATGTACCTGATGACTTGCACTCGCCCAGATCTCGCATACCCTCTCAGCATCATGGCTCGCTTTGTGGCTACAGGCAGACACCGACTTCAGCACTGGTCTGCCGCTAAGAGGGTTTTGCGTTATCTTGCAAGTACATCGGGCATGGGGTTAGTGCTAGGAGGACGCGGGCCAGTGGTCCTTACTGGACACAGAGACGCTTCTTGGGCAGACGACGCCAAGACCCTCTGGTCCTCGCAGGGCTACTGCTTCAGCCTTGGTTCAGGTGCCGTCTCGTGGAGAGCTACCCGCTCCTCGTCTGTTGCCCAGTCCAGCTGTGAGGCTGAGATCTACGCCGGTGCCATGGTGGCACAGGAGCTCCGCTGGCTGACGTTCTTGCTCACCGACTTAGGTGAGTGGCCTAGCTTTGCCCCGGTCCTGTACGCTGACAACAGGGCCATGATCCTCCTGTGTCAGGAGCCTCGACTCGAGGGCAGAGCGAAGCACATCCAGCTGCGGTACTTCCTCCTGCGTGAGCTCCAGCAGCGCCGCCAGGCGCGCGTAGTGGCCTCCGGTGCCAACACAGCTGATATCTTTACGAAGGCGCTTGCGGCTAAAGATCATCAGCGGCACTATGTACAGCTAGGTCTCGTTCCTGTAGCCTCTCACTTGCTAGGGCCTTGACCTTGTACTGTCCTTTATATATATATATTTTGCCCTGACTAGGCTTGTGGCCTCTCCCAATAGCTGGAATAGTAGTGCCGCCCTGGTCCTGCTCTTTTCTTGCCTGTACTCCTTTGACTGGTCTTTAGACTCTTGCCTCAGAGGCTGGACTAGTAGTGCCGCCCTGAGCTGCTTCTTTCCTTGATAGGCACTGCCCCTATATAGTCTAGGGGGTGTGTCAAATGTAACTTAGGTAGTTACTGTAGACTATACTGGATTGTGCCTTTGAGGGTACAACACCCTAGTCTATATACCCTTGTACTCACACATTCTAGTTCACTTATTCATTCTGATAATGAGGGCATAGGCATTTATAGGCATAAACAAGGCTAGCCGAGAACCACGCGAACAGGTTGGGGCGGTCCGATTGGCGAAAGCTACGGAAGCGCCACACGTGTAGGTCTGGGTTCGCAAAGTGGTTGGGGACCGAAGAAGTTGGCCGAGCCTAGACTTCCGAGAGTGGAGGACGTACGCGTTATAGTCGAGCCCAGTAAGGAAAAGGGAATTTCGTTACACCACCCCCTCTTCCGGGACGAGACTACCCACATTCAGGACACGTCGTCGGTGTAATTAGTCCCGAACAACCCTGTGTTCGACGAGCATAGCTGCGGGAACCCAGAGGTCGTCGTCACTCGTGCAATTGACCCATCGTATGATGAAATCAACGGCTACTGTATCTCGATGTCCTCGTACGCGATGAGCGAGAATCTTGGACGGCTCTGTCGTGGGCTCGGGTACTGGGTTGACCGTAGGATTGATGTATTGACAGTCGACATTGGTCGCACTCGGGACGAACGGTCGTAGGAGACAGACGTGGAACGAACCATGAATTCGCCAGTCGGCCGGCAGTTGCAGCTAGGCGGTAACTGATGTCGCCATTCGAATAATGCGGAATGGTCTGCAAAATCGTTGTCGTAATTTTTTTGGGAGGGGAGTTCCCAAATTCTTGGTGTCGAGCAAGACCATTTGCCCAGGGGCAAGCGTTAAGCCTCGGCGTCATTGGTATGCTTGCTGCTTAGCCTTCTGGGTGGCTTTTAGGATGGAGGCAGCAGCTTTTTGCTGAGACTGTCGGATATTTTGGACGAACTGCTGAGATCTTGGTGCCTGGTTTTCTATCGGTGACGATAGAGGGGTCGTCGGATCTATCATGTAATTAAGGAAAAAGGGGGACTGGGTAGTCGTGGCGGATGGGGATTGTTGTACGCAAAATCGATCAACGGAAGGGCGTCCTCCCATTGGCCCGGGTCTGTGCATATCGTGCGAATCAGCTGCTCCATCGTCTGATTGGTGCGCTCAGCTTGACCGTTCGATTGCGGGTGGTAAGCCGAGGCTAGATGCTGATGTGTGCCATATTGCTGCCAGGTTTTTGTCCAAAAGTTGGACGTGAAGCGTGGGTTACGATCGCTGATGATTGCCGAGGGGATGCCGTGTAGCCGCACGATGTTCGTGAAGAACATTTTCTTTGTCTGCTCGGCAGTAATTGTCGTCTTGCAGGCTGCAAAATGGGCCATTTTGGTCAACCGGTCAATGACGACTAAGATTGCGCCATTACCGCTTGGACCAGCAGGCAGGCCAGTGATGAATTCCATCGACACTTGTTGCAAGGGTCGGCTGGGTGGCTCGAGCGGCTGCATCAATCTAGCAGGTTGAAGCCGGGAGGACTTCATGCGTTGACATGTGGCACACGAGACGACGTATCGCTGCACGTCTGTCGGTAGGTCGGGCCAGATTCGATGCCGTAGTGACCTGAGAAATTCGAGTCACGTGCCTCATGGATCAGTAATTCCCGTAGGGTACGGTAGGCAAGAACCCAAATTCGATTGGTACCGGATTTTAGATAATAGGCCCCTTGTTTGATTGTCAGTAAGGGATGTTTGTTAGTGGTGAAGAATGGGTCAGTACTGTATCCGTGGGTAAATAGGCCTGTAAGCAGCGGATTAGTTTGGGTAATTAGGACGGCGGCAGTGTGGATCGAGGGGTGGGTCAGTGCGTCAGCGAGGTTGCTAACCCCGTGTTCTTAGATGACTGTGTAATGGAAGTTTGACTCGAGATAGTCGAGCCAACGAATCTATTAGAGTTTCAGTATCTGTTGGGTGCGGATGAGCTGTAGCGATGTGTGGTTTGTTTGGACTATCACGCCAGCGCCCGTCAGGTAGCAGCACCAAACCTTGAAAGCGAGAACGATGGCGAGTAACTCCTTGTCATGGACAGGATAATTTCGCTCGGCCTGGTTCAGCTTCCGTGACTCGTAGGCGTTGGGTTGTAGGCCTTCGCCGAAGTCTTGTAACAGGACTACACCAACGGCCAGATCGCTAGCATCGGTGATGAGCTCGAACGGACGGTGAGGATCCCCAATCCGAAGAACAGGAGGTGTAGTGAGGAAAAGTTTGAGCTTTTCGAACGCAGCCTGCTGCTCTCCCCTGCACTAAAAAACGTGCCCTTCTTTAGGAGATCCGTGAGAGGGGAAGTTACCCCCGCCATGTTTAGAATGAAATGGCGGACGTAATAAACAAACCCCTTAAAACTCTGAAGTTCGCGAAGATTAGTCGGCGACTTCCTGTCTTGGATCGTCACAATCTTCATGGGGTCGATTTTAACACCTTCGATGGAGATGACGTGGCCCAAAAACTCCAGTTCGTGTTTTAGAAACTCGCACTTAGAGCCCTTGGTGATGAGTCGGTGCTGCTGCAAGAGAGAGAAAACGACATCCAAATCCTTCAAATGCTGCTCCCGGGTAGTGTTGTAGACGAGGATGTCGTCGAGGTACACGATGACGCACTTATCCAGTAATGGCCATATAATCTCGTTCATGGTCAGCTGGAATGTCGAAGGTGCGTTTGTTAAGCCGAATGGCATAACCGTGTTCTTGTAACTCCCGTACTGAGTCCGAAACGCCGTCTTGTAGCAGTCAGCTACGTCCACGCGAATCTGGTAGTAATCGCCCCGCAGATCAATTTTCGAGAAGAACTGGGCCCCGCGAAGCTAGTCGATGAGTTCGTCGGCACGCGGAATAGGGTGGCGAGATTTGATGGTAACCCGATTCAATGCGCGGTAGTTGATATACATACATAAACCGCCATCTTTCTTCGGGGTGAACAGTATGGGAGCTGCAAACGGGGATGTGCTGGGGCGGACGAATCTTTTCTCGAGCAGGTATTCCAGCTGGCATCGACGTTCAACCAACTCGGGCTGAGTCTGCCACCACTGGGTCTGAACAGTTGGTTGCGCGCCGGGCTCGAGTTCGATCTTGTGGTCATGCCGTCGCTGAGGTGGCAAGCCGGTCGGTAGGTCATATGGAAAAATGTCGGCGTGTTCCGAATCAGAGTTGCCAAATCATCCGGGACAGCTGCGCAAAGTTTGTTGATGTCAGTCAGCGTGTCAACAGCCGTGGATGCAATCCATCGGACAGCATACAGCTGCGCTCCTTGAATCATCGCTTGCTTGATAGTCAAAGCGCTGACCGTCGACGTGGCCGAGTCTTGACTGCCCCCATTGGGAAGGCGTCGCCACTCGCCACTCCACTTGATGCGACAATCACCCGTCCGCCAATTGATGCTTGGCCTGTACTCCCGTAGCCAATCGCATCCCAGCAGCATGTCGCACCCATTCAGAGTTGTTGCCAGTTTTTTTTGTCGTGAAACTCAAGTTTTCGCCACAGGTGACTCGCACGTGAGGCACGCGCTCCCGAATCGCCTGTGGGGTGCCGTCAACCAACATCACGTCGAATTTGGGCATGCAGCGCTCCAGCTGCAATAAAAGTTTCTTTGCCTTTGTCACATCCATCAAACTGTGGCTCGCCCTACCATCAACGAATATTTTGATGCGGATGTCGCCAACTCTTTCTTCAACCAGCACAGGGTGATCAACTGGTTCACCCCCCTTATTCAGCCAGGAATGGTCGATAGCCCAAATCAGCACTATAATCTGGTGGGGGTGTTGGCATTTGGGCGACGTAGTCAAGTCAGTAGGCGGCCCATCAGCTATTGACTGTTTCCATTTCCCGACTGCTTCCCATCGTTAGCTACAGTAAGTTCTTCTTCAACCGCGGGCAGTCCTTCACCATGTGATCCGGCTGGTTGCAGTTGAAACAGCGTCCGGAAAATACCCGGGCTGCAAATGCATCTACGCCGTTGATTGATGTGTGTTGGGGCTGGCCTAAAAAACGGTTTCCCTCCCGGAAACCCACCCTCGCTAGTCCATAACTCGCATCCAGCGCATCCGCGATTCAGACGATTTCTTTGAAGGTAGCCCGGGCTCGCAGGATGATCTCTTGATGAATCTCTGGCTTGAGACCACCCACGTAGCGATCAATTTTCTCGTCGTTGCTGAGCCCGCCGATTTGATCGCATAGCGCTAGGAACAAAGCTGTGTACTCCTAAACACGCAGTCAAGTCAGTAGGCGGCCCATCAGCTACTGACTGTTTCCATTTCCCAATTGCTTCTTGTGGTTAGCTAAGTTCTTCTTCAGCTACAGGCAGTCCTTCGCCAACTGACCCGGCTGGTTGCAGATGAAACAAGGTCTGGAAAATACCCAGGCTGCAAATGCATCCACGCCGTTGATTGATGTGTGTTGGGGCTGGCCTAAAAAATGGTTTCCCTCTCAGAAACCCACCCTCACTAGTCCACGTCTCGCGTCCAGCGCATCCGCGATTTGGATGATTTTGTTCAAGGTCGTCGGGCCTTGTAGGATGATCTCTTACTGAATCACTGGCTTGAGACCACCCACGTAGCGATCGATTTTCTCGTCGTCGCTGAGCCCGTCGATTTGATCGCATAGCGCCAGGAACGAAGTCGTGTACTCCTGGGCAAAGCCAAACTGCCTCCACATCCGAAGCCTTGTGCAAGCATTTTCGTGCATGGATATGTGCTCGAAGCGGCTCTTCAATGCTTTGCCCCACGCTTTCCACGTGCGGATCGTGGCCGACCCAAAGATCGGTAATGCCCGTGCCATTGATGAACTGTGCTCCCCATCTACCGCCCGTTGATTCCCTGCCGGAGCTCCTCCCTCATCCAGATGCATGCGCCACCAGTTGAGTGCCGGTCCCATCAGCAGTGACACAGCCAAGTTGACGCGTGAAGCCTTGTCATTAATGCTTGCTGCTGTACAGAAGATCTCCATGGAGAACAACCAACCGCTCATTGTAGTGGATTTGTCGATCGGGTTGAACGGCGGCGGCATGGGTGGTTTGATTTTCATGTCTGCCCGCGGCTCGCTATGGATTTCTTCAATTGCTTCAGGGGTCACCGATGCCCTCGCTTCGCTCGCAGCATCTTCGTCCCGGGTAACAGGCCGCCCCTGACGCGTTTCACCCTGAGCCTGGCGAAGCGACGAGTTTTCATTGCGCAGCGTCTGTACTTCGCTTTCCAGTGTCTCGAACTTCTCAGCGAGTTGTTGAAGCTGGGCTTGCAGTGTCGTCACTATAGCCGCCCTAGCTTGCAACTCGTCAAACTCCTCTTGAGTCACATTACTAACACTATGGCGGGCAGAGGTTTCCAGCGTGGTAGGCATGCTGGAAATTTTACCTGACAGATATGAGGGTGCACACGCTTCTAGTTGGAGGAGCTTTAACGAGCTCACCTACCATCCACTGGCCAACCCCCTATTCTGTCGGGTCCTCTCCCGATATAAACAGGCTACTCTACGGAAGACTAAAGGGTGCAAACAATATTGCAAATGCCCTGATTTGTCTGACTGCCCATATTTATGTGATCCTTCTAGCACAGACCAACCCAATACCTACCGGAATTTTCACTCATGGCTAAACTATAGATGGATTATTTATCTGAATAGATTATGCACTAGAGGCACAGCCTCAAGGATGGTATTATGTAAAAGTTGGCACAAACCAAATCTGGGTACCCAAGTGCTCGTTGCTTTGGAGCTGCTGATATAGGAGGCACACAATTGGAATGCCCCAAAGCAACTGGGTGTGGTGAAAATACACCAGTAGGTGCAACGATACTATTTCTGGCCAGACATGGTTGGCGGCGTGAAGCGACACGTGGAGAGTTGTCCCACGTTCCAGGTTATGAAGAAGCTACGAACGAAACCCACCATCCAACTCCAACCAATCCCACCACCCAAACGACCTTGGCAGCAGGTGACGATGAATTCCATCACACGGTTACCCACTGACCTGAGTGGTAACGATGCACACTTTGTTGTTGTCGAGTGGCTGGTAAAGATGGTGCATTTTTTTTGCATGCACAAAAAGCATCACTATCGAGCAGACATCGAAGCTGTCCCTGGTTAAAGTGGTTTGCCTAGATGGCTTGCTGAGTGTTACAGTATCATCAATGATCGCGACATCAAATTCACTTGCATTTCTTTGCATACACTGTGGGACCAGCTTGGCACCCGCCTATAATTCACATCGTTGTATCACCCCAAAAAAGACGACCAGTCCAGACTGAAAGGACAAACAAAACACTTGAGCAGCTGATTTGCACCACATGCAATGATCTAGCCAACTGGTAGGAGTTTTCCCCATGATGGAATTCACCTTTAATAATATCATTTCAGCTACCATTCACCAATCAGCTTTCAACCTAAATAATGGTCAAGACCTAGTGAGCTCCCCAACGCCTGATCCGCAATCTACAGTACCGCATGCACAATAATTTGTCGAGTGCTCGGAGACTGCCAGGGAACGAGTTGCTGAGGCCACTAGAAAAAACAGAAGGCCCACCGACACAGGAGAGTTGTGCTGAACTAGGATGGAGATTTATTGTAGCTCGACACTAAGAATACGCGATGGCCAATCGTACCAAAAGTACGACCCCGATACTGCCACAAGACTGGACAATCAGCCCTGCATTTCACATAAGCCTATTATGACCCTACATACTGACACAGTGTAACTTACCTCGGGGGCAAGTGTACTGACCCTACCCATGATGGATATTATAATAGACCAGGACCGATTTCTTAGCCACTGCGTGCGGGACCCCCGGGGTGCTCGCCACATTGAGTTCTTGGTTTGATGGAATGATAGGACAGCAACAAAAGACAGTTGGTTACCTCCAAAGGATGTTTAGGATTCCCCACTCCTATAGGTGCATCTGTGAGATGTGGGTACACTCTTGTAGAGGGGGAGTGGTGTAAGGAAAACACTTTTTATGGTTGTGCATCCCGCCTGGCCGTGTACAGCAGCTGTTTCTATCAGCCTGCCTGGTTACCACTTGTTCGTCCGTTGGATATTTTGTCAACCTGGCCCTGTTAGTATTGCTAAGTCACTTGCCAAATAAGCCCGTGCTCAATGAGCCTGTTGTGTGATGTCATCATATGCTATCATATTGTGTCTGCCTCCCATCCCATGTTTCAACTTGCATGTGTGGTTTGAACGTGTGCAAGAATTTGTGTGTGGTGTGAGGGTTGGGAAAATTGGTCACTCTACTATAGCAGCTGCAAATTGGTTGGGAACAACCAAGCTAGGTTGGCAAGGGTGGCCAACTTGGATGGATTGGTTGGGAAGGGACAAAGGTCAAAGTTGAGGTTCCTATAGGTAGGGAACTTTGTGTTTATGGGGTTTTCTTGGTTGGGGACTCTCTTGGGACCTTCCCTCTCATCCTTATCTTCCTATCCCAACCTTTCTCGTGCTCCTCTTATTCCTTGTGAGATTCTTGAACCTTGATTAAAGTTTAAGATTGAGTTAAGTTCTTTTCCTAAAGCATACCCCTCCATGCGTCGAAAGATATAGCGTCGCGAATACTCCATCAATCAACGTGATTCAACTTGGTAACGGTAGCTGATATTAAGAGCTAGAACATATCTGAGTTTCGCGGCATTTCAACGGCTAGGTTTTTGTCGACGACGTTTCTTGTGGAGACGACCTTTCTGTCCAGAATTTCGGATTTCTATTTTGAGTAATTATAGCTCATAAGCACACCTAGACTCCGTCCTTAACACTAACAGAGCCATGCTTGAAACTCACGCACTAGCTAAATATGTTAGCCACATCATTAGACGTTACCTGTAGCACGTTTCGCATGTAAGTTTATCGCATGTATCTTTTGCTCAACTTGTTATTCATGTTTTCTGCTATCTCATCCTCGCTACCAGGTTGTTTGTCTTCACCCCGAATGGGGATCCTAACATAGTTCCTTTGACCACCCTATGTTTGAGCTTAATTAATCAAAATTAAGGTATTGGTTTAAGGGGTTTTTGCTGTTGCTTACTCATCATATCCTAAGCACTTCTCTCCAACATGGATACAATTAGGGTGAAGTACACTGGCGGAAAGAATTGTCCACATGTTTTGCAATTTTCAGAATTTTGTCCGTTAAAGGGCATGTGTACATTAAGCCTTAATTAGAGGCCTTACCCACTATATGCTCCTTTTTCTAGGGACTCAAATCAGTGCTTCACATTTGATGAAACCACTATCGTTAACACTAAAAAGCAGACATAACCGATCACGGTGCATCCGGACAATTAGTTCCAGACGGAAGCAGCAACTTATACAACCCTTAAACTAGTACCTGGTCCACCGCCCTTTAGCCTTAAAGCGAGAGGTCAAAATAGTGAAGGCGGGTCCAACTTGAAAAGGCCCAGACGTCCGTTTTTGCGACGAGGGACAAAACAGCGATTCGTCGAAATGCTAACCACGCAAATCTATGGTCGTAAAATTTGTCGCCAGTGCGAAATGTCGCAAGCGCAATTCAATTTCGTGGCCTACGGCTTGGTAAAAAACGGGGGCTGCTGCCTGCCCCTCCAAAAACATAATCACTGCTGGGCTGTTTCTAGTTGGGCCCAACTAGAAAGGGGGGTGACTATTTTAGTCTCTCGCTTTAATCATTGCATCCACCCTCCCGGGCATGCTGTTGATCAAATTGGAGCACACCTCTGATGCGATCTTCTCCCATTCCTCTTGTACACGCTCCCACAGGTCCACCATACCAGCGGGAGGTGTCTCATGCTTAGCCAGCTCCCGTTTAAGATGAGCCCAAAGATGCTCAATGGGGTTCAAATCGGGACTTCCTGCCGGCCACTCCAGGACTCCAAACTCCTGCTCCTGAAGCCACTGCTGCACCACACGGGACTTATGCTTGGGGTCGTTATCATGCTGAAAGAT